AAATTGTCAGTCGATCAATCTCAGATCACCATTAGAAACCTGGAAACATTGGATGACCGTTTCGTACTGGTATGGGACTCATCGGCACTGTGCATCCATAACTCCTGCTACTTGCAGGAATCGAAACCAGGATCTTCAATCTTGTACGTGAACGCCTAAACACCGGTGTTCATGTCTTACTTTGATTAATCTTAGGAATTTTCACAACCTCACCCATTGTCTTCGGTCGATAACTACCTCACACCCGACAGTGCTAAACTTCACTGATCACGTCTTCGTACTAGAGAATTCTGAGAATTTCTTCCCTAGTGAACACATTTTGTAATGTCAAGATAAAACTACCATAATAGTTTAATGCGAAAATTAATTTATTCTTTTCTTAATAAAAGCAACAATTTTATTCAAATAAACAAGTATTCCCGTATTCTTTTTTTCAAAAAAAAATTGTTAATCTAACCTAATTATTCACCATAAAATTAAATAACTTGAATAAATAATTGAACAATGAATAAACAGGAAACAAGTGTAGCGATTTTAATGTGTTGCTATTTTCTTCTATTCGTACCATTTTCATGCCGAAATTACACATCATTGAAGTTTGGTAAATAAAAAAATTAAATTTTTATCAAACAAACCAACTCTACACAATAAACAATTAATCTTACCAATTTTTGTTAAAATAAAATGAAATTTAATGTATTTATTTTCTATTTGGATTGTTAAGTTTGTTTGTAGATGAATATTGAAACTTTGTTTAAAGTGTGTAGATAATTTGTTTTAATGAAGTCAACAAATCAATAATTTAAAAAACTTGTATCGTAAATAATTTCGAACAATTTAAAAAAAATGAAATTTAAAATAAATAAGAATATCCTGTTGAAGGGTGACCTTGAGTTAAAACTGTGGATTGATTGAAGTTAGGTATGAAGTCTGTCAGATAACGTCGGCTCAGTGGTTCAGAGGTTAGGAATTCGCGTGAAGGACTGAAGGTCCAGGCTTCACTTCTTGTGAAATTAAAAATCATTTGAAATAAGATAGAAGGTCCTGTGTCCGAATCCTGCTAGTAGAAGGAGTCGTTGATGCTCACTACCATTGATGAGTCCCATGTCTGGATGAAGAGGGATGGCTTTCAGTACTTCCAGGTTTGTAAAGATGGTGGATTGACATTGATCGATTCATGAACTTCATACATGAGTACATAAGTTTAGGTTGCCATACCCCATCAGCCTAGAGACGCCACCGTTAGTTCAAATCCAATAGTGGTAGAGATAGTAGAAGGTTTAGCAGTAATGGAGAATATTAGGGAGCGAAGATATGATTTGAGAAGTATAATTCAGCGAGATAAATATAGAAAGAGAAAGGTAGAAATGATGAGGAATTCAGAAGGTTAGAATTAGAGAGAACACTTGCGCCATTGCAAACAATTTTGAGCCATGTCGTTCAGGGTCTCTAACTGTCGATGACTTTCGTCTCGCGGACCCTAACCAGTTGGTTTACACTTGATGGAGATGCTTTGGAAGCTTTAAAAACCTTTACACATCAAGGCAGCCTCACTGATAAATAAGGTGGGACTGATGCAGATGTGAATGCACAGATTAGCGAAACTCTTCAAAAATAGTGGATGAGTTTGCGCAAAGCCCCCTAGATCAATCAAAGTTAAACATTAAGACAGTTGGATGTCAGTTCAGTGGTCTAGAGGTATGACGTTTAAGCGCGAGACCGAATGTCCAGGGTTCGACTAACACTGCTGTAGAGTCCCGTACGTAAACGAAACAGCCATCCAGTGTGTCCAGATGAAACTGGATTTTCATTGAGCACTGTCAAAAGCAACATTTAAAAGTTTACCACCTACAATCATAACCGGTTTTTATGAAATTTTCAAAATGATGTTGAGTTTTACTCATTGTACAAAATAAACGCAGATAACTTGATGTGTTATGTATTATCGCAAGTGTTCACTGTTCAAAAATGATGACTTAGATTAGATTGGAAGCGTCAGTAATCCTTATCCAGAGGTTAGGCGTTCGGTCGCTAGGCCATAGGTCCTAGGTTCGAATCCTGCGAGTTGCAGGAGTCATGAATGAGCACTACCGCTGATGAGTCCCATACCAGGACGAAGCGGGTATCTTCCAGTGCTTCCAGGTTTCTTTCTAATGATGGTTCAAGATTGATTGATTCACAATTTCAAAAAGTAACCCACTCAACAACCTGCAAAATTCTGTGATACCGAAATCCTAGTTTCTGTAAAGCTTTACTAATGGTAATCTGAACCTTCTTCTTCGTCTTTCTGTTCACCTCTTTCTTTCTACCTTTTTTCTGTTTTCTTCTAGTTCCAGATAATGATTGTACACATAAATCCAAATTAGACAATCGTCGTTCAACATTGAACTCTGCATCATCTACATGTTTTCCATTAAATTTTCGAAGTTTAAAACGAAAATCATGTTTTGATGAGAACACGGAATTGAATCAATTGAAAACGGACACTAAAGATGTGATGAGTCATAGTAATAATTTGCATCAAACATCAAGTAGTCGAAAAATCAATCAATCATCCCCTAATGCTGATAAGTTGACAACTGTTAGGCATCAAGCAACTTCCATACAAACACCAACGTGTACAGTGAGTTATGACGACGAGGCTGGAGATGATGATATTGAGAAACGTTGTTTAAATCAAAGTGTAAGTCTTATTAAAAGTGATATATATATATATATATATACATATATATATCTGTATTTGTATGTTATCATCCTATGAATAATGTTTAATGGGCTACGACACGACTCCATTATTTATGAACAGTTGAATATGATGTGAAGTAAATGTCTCCTTCAGTTTCCCTGATATCATAATGGCGCGAACCCTTGTTTACACGACGGCGGTAATAAGAAGCCAAATAAGGATTCAGTTGAATGAGTTTATTTCAAGCAATCGTTCATGGAGGTAGCACAGGCGAATAGATAGCTTGAAAGCAAAGCAAAGCAAAGTGGAGAAGGTCAGCGAGCCAATTCAATGTAATGATAGATGACTAAGCACTCATAGTCAGACAAAAATAAGCTAGGCAGATAACAAGCGAAGTTTGATTTATCAAATAAGAAAAACTATTTAATTGTACAAATACGAAGATTCACTTGATTCACTAAGGGAAAGTAATGATATAATGTGTCACATAACTATGAGATTAATTTGGATTTTTCTCAGTTAACTTATTCCATTGAAATTATTCAAACAAGACTTGAAGGTCCTTGGTTCGAATCCTGCTGGTTGCAGGAAGCTTACTGTCACTGATGAGTCCCATACCAGCAGAACAAAATCGCCGTCTTTCAGTGCGTCCAGGTTTTTAATATTGGCATAACAACGATTGGCTGTTGATTTCAAAAAATAACTCAATAATCTCCACAAGCCGATAATGGAACAGTTCAACTGTTAAACTGTACCAACTGTCATCAATACATGTTTCGATCTAGTAAGCGCTATTTCATAAAACTAACACAATTAATTCTCAGGGTTAGTTGACTATCTTAAGATGAATATGAAATCGTTTGAAATCAATCAGAAAAAATCATGGTTAGATACCATTAGAAACTTGGAAGCACAAGACGGTAATTTTGTCCTAACTTTCATTCCTGATTACGTGGTTGTGGATGCACACACTAGGACAAAATGACTATCGACTGCTTTCAGGTTTGTTGTGGTGGTCTAACACAGATCTGTTCACGATTTCAATGATTATTACGATGCTGATAGGTTTTGTGAAACATGTGTAAACGATGATCATTTCTTCTAAATTTATCTGTGAACTAACTACATACTACTAAGTTGAGCGTGAAATATTCGTATGAAACTTGTTGAATTTGTAGATGGTGACATAAACTAACTTTCTTTAACACAGTCACTGAAAACTATAACATTTTTAGTTGCTCATTGTTCATCGAGTCTCATAGGTTGATTCATTCTTTGAATCCATTGAGTTCGAGAGTGTCATTTTCGACTTAGTTCAGCAGATTGCATTAAGTTCTATGTCCAGCTCACCAATTTAGTGACCCGAGATTTGACTCCAATTCGGATGAATGGTCGAGTTTGCGAGTATGAAATGATTCCTCCCTTCCATTTCCCTACATCATACTTAGGTAAACCCCGTTTGTGCGACAGTGGTAATAAGAAACCGAATACGGTTTCGAAGATGAGTTTATTTCATGTGTTCATTGAAACAGACGGACATGAGAATGCAGAGCATCTACGCAAAGAGAGGCGAAGTGGAGAAGGCGAGTAAGTCAACTCTCCAATGCACTGAAGCATGACTTCGTTTTGATAGTCAAGCAATAATAATAATCTACGTATGTAGCAAGCAAGTAATCATGCAAACTCACACTCACACACACACACACACTCAATTATACACCAGTCGACACCATCATCGAATAATGACAAACATCAAAAATGATCGATACTATTGTTGAATAATTTAACCGACTAATCAATAAAACTAATCAATATATGGCGCTATATATTTGTATATGATGAAATGCATATGACATTCAGACAATTAAATCAACAAACTGAATAGTGTTCATTGATAAACAAGAGTTAAACTTGAAAAGAGAAAAAACAATTGTTCAGTCATTCCCCGATTGACGTAAAACAAACAATCAGTTATCATCAGTTTTTCGACTTGATCATCGTCAAACGTACATACAATAATGACATAAGGTTTCCTTTCTTTGCGATTTTAATGTTGAATGTTCGGCTCACGAAATTCGTTCTTCAAGTCTTTTAAACTGTCAACAAAAGGATGATTTTTTGTTGCTTCTACGAACTAATCACTTCATGTCTCTTCTATTTGAGGGATGGATTGATTGTGAGACACTTGATTATAGTTTGTTTATGATACTCTGAGCAGCTATCTCCTTAAAATGAAACGACATTTTTTATCGATTTCCAACTTTTGGTGACTTAGAGAATGTTTTCAACTTAGTTATTGAAAAAAGTGCAGTGATTTTTCAAACAATAGAAAACTAATCTCATTCAACTGTTGAATTTGAAAATATGTTTTGTTGTGTGGAATTGTTTTCTGTGACTTTGATCTTCCTATGAGTAACTGACTAATACGTAAAATCAATTTTATGAAGCTTACAAAAGCATTGATTGTGCGTATTGTACACATCAAATACTTATCACTAGATAACTTTCACAATCAGATTGTGGGATTGTTGAGTTAATTTTTAAAATCATGAATCGATCAGTGTTAGACTATCTTGGTTAGAAACCAAGGAACACTGGCAGCTTGTTTTTTCCTGGTATAGGGATCAGCAGTGAGATCTATCATGTGCTCACTAGTGACTAGCTACGTGTGGAAGTTTCTGAGAGTTATAGTGAGAAGCCGAGACCAGTGGAGTTCAAACCTGTCTGGTGTGAAGCATTTATCTACCAAAGACAATTGGTGATGTTGCAAAAAATCCTTAGATTGATCGAAGTTAGACATGAACACCGTTGGACGCAAACGCACAGGTCGAGTAGTTAATCGTTCGCTCACAAGACCGAAGGTCCTGTGTTCAACTCTCACGAGCAGGGATTGTAGATGCGCACTGCTGATGAACCCCATAACAGGATGAAACATCCATATAGTGCTTCCAGGTTTCAATTTATTTGTTGAAAAAAAGTCTCTGATTTTCCGGACAGAAAAAATTGATCTCCTTCATCTGTTGAACGTGAAAATCAGTTTTGTTATGATCAATTTTTCTGAGAGTTTGAGCTTCTTATGAGTAACTGACAACTATGTCTCGTTGTGATGGAGTTTCGTTCTCTGACAGGCAAATATAATGTCGCGAAACAGATCAAAGAGGGGAATTCACTCAATGACAGGTTTAAGGTCAATAACAACCAATCTAAATAGAGGTTAACAGAACAATCTATGGGTCAAACATGGAGAAATTCGAATACTTTTGTTTGAAGTTTGTGCTGATGTTGTTGTTCAGAAAAACAATGAAAGCTTCACAACCGAAAATCCCAGCTCAGAAAATGAAACTCTAACACGATCATCCACCTGAGCAACGAATTTTCCCCACCATCTAACCATCTGTAACATAATTCTGTGCATTATCTGTCAATGTTAGACTACCATGGTTAGAGACCTAGA